TAACTGCGCTTTCCCGAGTCTAGCGGACACCCTGCTGACCCAATTCCTGGTGGGCCTGCGAGAGCCCAAACTCCGGCGGAAACTGGTCAAGCCAGGACGACCTCAACCTGGACAAGGTGGTCCGGGAGGCCTCCACCTACGAGAAGGCTCATCGAGACCGCCGCGCCAAGGCGGTCCACCGCACTCAAGTGAGCAGCGGATCCGACGCCTCGGACGGGGAGGAAGTCCTACAGCTTCGCCAGCGGACTTCGCATCGACCCAAACACACGTCCTCCAGGACGAACAAGGCCTCGCCTCCAAGCCTGTGCGCCAGTTGCGGGGACAACCACGAGCGCAAGTCGTGCCGTTTCAGGAACGCAGTCTGCCGCTCCTGCAACAAGGCAGGGCACATAGCGAAGGTCTGCCGATCCAAAGGACAACGCCCGAGATCTGCAACGCACCAGACCACTGCGGAACAGTCCTTCAAGCTCCACACCGTGTCGTCCCACTTCCCGCAACACCAGGTCTATAACTTGCCCCCCGACGGCCCTAACAAAATGCATGTGACGGTCCTCATAGAGGGAGCCCCCTGCACCATGGAGATCGACACCGGGTCGACCTACTCCATCATATCCACGGATACGCTCCGCTCACTGTGTCCAAAGGGGGGGCCACCACTACAGAAGTCACGGGGTTTCCGGCTACGGGACTTTAACAAGAACCCCGTGGCGGTGCTGGGCTGGGGCAAGTTCAGGGTCCAGTTCCAAAGCTTCAAGGGCCACCTGGACCTACTGGTGGTGGACCAACCCCTCTCCAGCTTGCTTGGACTAGCATGGTTCGAGGCCCTGGGACTCTCCGTTAAGGGCATCAACCAGGTCGGGGCACACGATTTTGGGGCGGTGTGCGCTGAATTCCCCCGCGTCTTCGATGGAACCCTGGGGCGGTTCACGGGCCCTGCCATAACCCTGGACCTACACCCAGCAGTACGCCCCATCCGCATCAAAGCCCGGTTGCCCCCGATTGCCATGAAGCCGAAGGTGGAGGCCGAACTCGACCGCCTGGTAGAACAAGGGGTCCTAGAACCAGTAGCCTCGGCCCGGTGGGAGACCCCCATTGTCATACCGGTCAAACCGAATGGGGAAGTCCGCATCTGCGCGGACTATAAATGTACGATCAACAAAGCCCTGCAGGCCCACGCGTACCCGGTACCAGTTGTGAGCCACGTGCTAGCGGCCCTAGCGGGGGCCCGGCTCTTTCGCAAATTAGACTTGGCACAGGCGTACCAGCAGTTGCCAGTGGACGCCGCCACGGCCGAGGCACAGAACATTTCGACCCACAAGGGGGCGTTCAAAGTGCACCGCCTCCAGTTTGGGGTCTCAGTCGCTCCTGGGATCTTTCAATCATTTATGGATTCCCTCCTCAAAGGCATCCCGGGGTTCAGCCATTTCTAGACGACGTGCTGATCGCTGCCCCTGACCCCTCGTCCTTCGCAGACCGGCTGAGGGCTGTATTGCAACGCTTCGACTCACCCCTCCCTGGACAAGGTGGAAGCCATCACACACACACCAGCTCTGAATTCCAAAACGGAGCTACAAGCGTTCCTTGGCCAGGTGAACTTCTACCACTCCTTTTTACCCCTCAAGGCCGCCATGGCGGAACCTCTTCACCGCCTCCTCGACAAGTCGGCACCATGGGTCTGGGGGCCGCCACAGGCCGCGGCGTTCCAGGCAATAAAGGACCTCTTATCATCAAATGCGGTCCTCGCCCACTTCAACAAGGCCCTTCCCGTGGTGCTGCCGTGCGACGCTTCTCCGTATGGGGTCGGGGCAGTCCTGGGGCACAGGCTGCCAGACGGTCATGAGGTACCGGTCGCCTACTACTCGCGGACTTTGTCACCAGCCAAGCGCAACTACGCGCAAATAGATAAGGAGGCCTTGGCAATCGTGGCAGGGGTGAAAAAATTCCATCACTACTTGTATGGTCGCCCGTTCACGGTCCTGACGGACCACAAGCCACTTCTGGGTCTCCTCACACACGACCGGCAAACCCCACAGATGACCTCACCCAGGGTGCTGCGCTGGTCAATTTTCCTGGCGGGGTATGCATACAACCTCGTCCATTGGCCTGGAAAGGCGATGGGCCATGCTGATGCACTGAGCCGCCTGCCCCTGCCCAAGTGCGACCCCGACCCGGCGCCCGCACTCCAGGTCGCGCGCCTGGAAGCTCTCCCGGACCAGCCGGTCCACGTCAAGGAGGTGGCCCCAAACCCCCCAGATGACCTCACCCAGGGTGCTGCGCTGGTCAATTTTCCTGGCGGGGTATGCGTACAACCTCGTCCATCGGCCTAGGAAGGCGATGGGCCATGCCGACACCCTGAGCCGCCTGCCCCTGCCCAAGTGTGACCCAGACCCGGCCTCCGCGCTCCTGGTCGCTTGCCTGGAAGCTCTCCCGGACCAGCCAGTCCACGTCAAGGAGGTGGCCCGAAGCACCTCCAAGGACAAGATTCTGGGGAGGTTCTTAGACTGGGTGGTGAGGGGGTGGCCCGAGGCCAAAGGGGACCCGGACATTGCACCTTTCGCTACCCGAAAACATGAACTCTCTACTCACAAGGGTTGCTTGTTGTGGGGAAGCCGGATGGTCATCCCCATGCCCTTAAGAGAAAGGGTCCTCACCGCCCTGCACGAAGCACATCCGGGGGTAGTGCGTATGAAAGCCCTGGCCAGGAGTTACGTGTGGTGGCCGGGGCTGGATAAAGACATTGAGGATGTGGTCAAGAGATGCCAGCCATGCCAAGCCTCGCAGAGAGGGCCTGGGAATCCTCACACCGTCCCTGGTCCCGCCTTCATCTGGACTTTGCGGGGCCATTCCAGGGCCAGCTTTTCTTCATCCTGGTGGACGCGTACAGCAAGTGGCTGGAAGTGGTCCCGGTGCCCTCCACCTTGTCACAGGCCGCGATCCGGGCCATGTGGAGGATCTTCAGCGTCCAAGGGATCCCCGACACGCTGGTCACAGACAACGGGACAGCATTCACCTCAGCTGAGTTCCAGGCCTTCACGAGGTACTATGGAATCCGCCCCGTCCGGTCCGCCCCATTCCATCCCGCAACCAACGGCCAGGCCGAGCGCATGGTGCGCACCACAAAGGACACGCTCCACCGCCTGGACTCCTCCGATTGGGATTACAAACTGGTGGCCTTCCTCTTTGGCCAGCGCACTACGCCCCACACCACTACGGGCCACAGCCCTGCCGAACTACTTCTGGGCCGCCACCTGGCTTCCCGAATGGATCAGCTACACCCCGACCGCCCCCCCCCCCCCCGACAGCCAAGTCATCCGGGTTAAAGGCCCTCGATCGTACGAGGTCTCCTGCGAGGATGGCCAGATCCTCCATCGGCACATTGATCAGCTACGTTGCCGGACGCTGCCGCTGGACCCAGAGGACCTGGACAGGGACGAGGACCCGGAGCCTTCTCCACAGGCCCCACTTCCGGGGACAGACCCACAGCCGCTATCCCGGCCTGCACCAGAGACCCCTCGGGACGAGGTACCAGACACCCCGGCTACACCACACCCCACGCCGGGCCCGGTCCACTCGGCTCCAAGAGCGCCCGAGGCAGAAGCGGTAGCTACCCCAGAACCTCGCCGCTCAACCCGCACCAGGAAGCCACCAGCACACCTGAAGGACTTCATCTGTGGGTGCATTGCGAACCAAGGGGGGAGGGGTGTAATGTATTCAGCCTGACATGCCCGGACTTGCCCAGGCTGGCCAGGCACAATTCCTCAATAGCTTCAAAGACAATGGGTCCGTAGGATCCTAGCCGGCCCAATGAAAGGGCTAGGTCCCCAGCCGGGAGGCCAATGGGTCTCTCGGTTACTGTAAATAGCCTATCGGGAGTAGGGGATGTGTTTAGGTGAGCTTGGTGGCGGGTTTTCTGAATGCATATAAACCGGCCTGCGAGCCGGTCAGTTGTCTTTGTTCTGAACTAAATAAAGGTATGCTTAGTTGAAATCACTCTCCATCTGCATACTTTTCAAGTGCCTGCCTTGTTCTCGTTGGAAGTTCCAAGAACGATGCTTCTGTGTCTCAGACCTGCAGACTCTGTGGCAAGGGAGGCTAGATAGCTAGATAGGCACACTGACTTCTCTTCCTGTCTTCCAGTTTGGTGTAGTGGTTAGGAGTGCGGACTCTAATCTGGGAGAACCGGGTTTGATTCCGCACTCCTCTGCTTGCAGCTGCTGGATGACCTTGGGCAAGCCATAGTTCTGACAAGAGCTGTCCTTGAAAAAGAGCAGTTTCTGTCAAGAGCTCTCTCAGCCCCGCCTCCCTCACAGGGTGTCTGATGTGGGGGGGGGGAGGGAAAAGAGATTGTAAGCCGCTCTGAGACTCCTTTGGGTAGTGAAGGGCCATAAGGTATAAATCCAATCTCCTCCTCTTCTTCTTCCTCCTGTCTTTACTCTTCTGCCACTGTCCCCTTTGCAATGTAGACTGTGTTCTCAGGGACAATCCCCCTTCCTTCCGTTCTCTCTCAGAGATGAAGACAAACTCCCTCTCTGCATATGCACCGAGAGGGACAACATGCTGTCCTCTCTGGGAACCATGAGGCAGGTGGCCTGCTTGCCATCTGCTTCCATCCTTAGCTAGTAAGTTAGTACTCTATCCTGTCTCCGCTCTTTCCTATCAAAAAGTGCACTTCTCAGATAAAGAGAGAAGTTTTATCTTCTAAACTTGCAACGTGGCTCTGTGTAGCTTTGTAAACTGGGTGACCGGGTAAAGTCACGCTGCTGCGTTTGTAGCTTTATTTAAGCACTCTGCTAACTAGTGGGGACTGGACTAACCACACCAGTTAACCTCGTCCCCCCCCCCCCCCCAAAACCTCTCACACAGACCCTCTGATGGTCCAAAGAGGAAACAGGGGACTTGAAAGCCCTCCCCCCTCCCAGTGGTCAGTGGTCGGAGGACAATCAATGCCTTCTGCACGTGTCCTCAAGAATCGTGTTTCTCTGTACGGTTCCTCCTTCCAGGATGTTGCTCCTCCCAGACTGGATGCTGGAGATGCTGGTGCTGGACAAGACCCTCGCCTGGACTGCGGCTTCTTCCGTCCTGTCGCTTTCCCTTCTGGGCCTGCTCTTCTATCTCCTCCTGAAAGCCTTTGGCTTTTTCCACGACTATTACGTCCTCTGCCAGAGACTGCGATGCTTCCCAGAGCCCCCACGTGACAACTGGCTCTTGGGACACCTGGGCTTGGTAAGCAACACCCGCGGGCGCAGGGGGCCTGGTTTGTGTGGGGGGGGGGGAGTCTGCAGCCTTGCTCAGGGAAGGGAAGGAGAATGTGGCACAGAGGAGCAGCCACGGCTTCCACCGGGGCTGGGAGAAGAGTTCCCAGCAGCCGTCCCACCCATTCCACAGCCTTCATGCGCAGTGCCAGGCAGAGCCAAATCATATGCGGATCTTAGCCCTTGCGTCTTGACAGATCTCGGGGGTGTGCTGCCATTGTCTGGAAGGAAGGCTGGTTACAAGCCATGGCAGGACCTGGGCCTTGCGGTGCTCTCCCTTTGGAGAGGTGAAGAAGCCTCGGGACTGGCCAGTAGGAGGCATCGTCCTATGCGCCTCTTCTCTGGAAGCGTTTCCTGAAACAAATGGGGATCGTGCCCGGCCTAGAGGGAACACTGGTTGTGACACGTGCCTAGAGCCTGGCCGTCCAGCCCCTTTCTTCGTGCCCACTGGACAGCCAGCCCCTCACCAGGTCTGCCACCGCTTCCTCCCGTTGGCGTCAGCACTCACGGCCTCTGCTGTGTCTCTTGCAGTTTCAGCCCTCCGAGGAGGACATGGTCCGGATAGCCCAGCTGGTCTCCACCTTTTCCTCGGCCATGGTGACGTGGATGGGGCCCTTCCTGCCAATCGTGTCCCTGTTCCATCCAGATTACATCAAGCCCATCGCAACAGCCTCAGGTACTACTGTGGCTACGAATCATGGCAAGACCAAGAGGAGGAGTCCTGAGAAGCCTCTTTGGCAAGGACAACAGACCTTGGATAACTACACTGGGCTGGGTCCAGCAGTCTCAGCGTGGGAAACGTTCCTGGTTCCCCCTCTCCCAGCATACCTTTCTGACCCTGGTAAAGCTGGTTCCCAAGCCGGGAGCAGCACTGAGGAGGGGGGGAAATTCTCCCCCCACACACACACACACACTGCACTCCCCGCAGCAGCTGTTCATGGCTGTCTATCCACGTGGGTCCTGCGACCCAGGAAATTAAGTTCCCTGGTACTGGAAAGCAAAGTTCCCTCTAAGCTGAGCTAGGGGGTGCTGGCACAAAGAGTTTTAGCTTCCGTTTTATCTGCGGAACAGGAGTAAGTCATGTCATTTTGCTGAGAGAGCCGGAGGTAGAAGTAAGTATTAGGGCCTGTGCTTTGGATTGGTTTAAATGTAGTGATTGAACTCAGAAGGTTGCTATTGGGGAAGACAGGATCATAGACTCACAGAGCTGGAAGGGGCCACAAGAAGCCATCTAGTCCAACCCCCAGCTCAATGCAGGACCAGCCTAGAGCATCCCTGACAAGAAGTGTTTGTCCAGCGGCTGCTTGAAGACTGCCAGGGTGGGGGGGGGGAGCTCACCTCCTCTCGAGGCAGCTGATGCCACTGCTGCAGCAGAGGATTAGGGACTCGCAATAATGGGTTTAAATTAAGGGCAGGAAGGTACTAGCTAGATATTAGGGGGAAACTTTTTTACAATATGTGCAATGGAGCTCTTCCGCCAGGCCTTTGGCTGAGGTGATGGGCGCCCACTAAAATCTCGCCTCCCCACCTGCTGAAGTTTACCATCTCTATGTGGCCCAGGTCCAGATTCTGGAGGCCAAATGACACCAGCTTGAAATCTATGTATATGAATAGTGTGACCTGTCTTTAAGCTATGCTGTTTTAAACTGTTTTAATTGTTCCATAAATTATGTTGATATGTACTGCAATTTTTATGGTATACTTTAAATTTTGCTCTGTGATCCACCCTGAGCCTGCTTGTGAGGAGGGTGGAATACAAATTGGAACAAACAACAAAAACTCAATAAAAGGCAGCAGATCAACCCAGTACCAGCAACCAGAAGGCTTGTCTACATTCAAACAGAGCTCATCCGCTAAAGGCACCAGACTGGGGGGGGGGGCTCCAGAGCAGACGGGTCTGTCCCGGAAGATGCATCATGGGGGCTTCTGTCCTATGGGCAGGAGCTTAACAGCCTGGAGGGAAGGGCACCTGAATTGCCCGTGTCCAATCACTGGTCTAGCTTTTCCCCCACCCAAGAGAGAGAGAGAGGCCTGAGGGTCAGAAACTCAGGGGATCCAAGCATTCCTTGGCGCACGCAGGGCAGCCTGCCTGGCACTTGGGATGCCACGTGCAAAGGCTGCCCACATTCTACTGCTGTACTGCTTTGCATGCTGCCCCATGGGAAATTACCTTGATGGCAAACTGATAAAGAGTTTTGCGGCACTAAAGATTATTAATTTATTGTGCCATAATAGATATGGTGGTGTGTGAGGTTTCATGAGCCCATGTCCTCAGATGCATGAAGAGTTACATTCTGTTGACAAAAATTTGCATTCCCTGTGCTACAAATAGTAGACTGGTGGTGGAGGGAGGGGGCAAAGGAGTTATCTCAAAGACATTCCAGTTTCCCAGGCGGTGCCCATGCCACAGGACACACGTGGGAAAGCAGGACCCAGTCAAAGCTGCAAACGCGTGGGTGTTGATGCAATGGTGCATAGCAAAATAGGATGAACCGCGAGAGCCGGTCCACACATTGCCAAGTCCACGTGTTCTCCATCTGGACTTTCAGTAGGCAGGTTCTGAGAGTTTCCTGCTGGGGATTTAATTGCCAGGCATGTTTGGATTCAATTCAGATCCAGAGCACCATCCAGAGGAGGCAGAGGGGCTTGGGCCCCCTCCCTGTGCTGCTTTCCCTGACCTGGGGAGCTGCTCTTTGCCTGCTGGGAAAACGACATGTACGTTTCCCCAACAGGACGAATAGAGGCCATTTCAGGTTCGGAGAACAGCACGGGGGGGGGGGGAGGTGTAAGCCTTTTTTCTCTGTGCTGAATCAGGCCCCTGCACACCTGGGAATTATGTTCTCAGCACAGAACTCCAGGTGCGCATGTGATCAGAAGTCCTCATGATGACCGTGTGTACACCACATGGACTCTGTAAGGTGGAAGTCAGCCCTCGATGGGAGTACGTAGACCTCTGCCTTCTGCAGCCAGCTATCCACTCCTGACCTCTGTTGAGTCCAGGTCTGTTAGTGCCCAATCAGGTCATCAGTTCCAAGTCGGAAGAGCAAGATCTGTTTCTAGGAGGACTCAACTACTGCCCTTCTCCTGCAGACCAGCACAGCCACCCACCTCCACCTGGAATGGTCCAGCTCACAGGTTTCTCACAGGGTTGTACCTCTGAAATACTTCTGCTGAAGTGACGCAGCCTTTGAGTCGACGCGTGTCCTCCAGAGGCAGGATGCTGAGTCTCGCTTCTGAGGGGCTTCTCTTCACTTCTAATGTCTGATTTGTGCCCATCTGTTCTCTTGCACAGAGAATCAGTGAGTCGGACTCCACAGGCCCCGTGGGGGGAAATGACAGAAGCAGCACTCCTGACTGGGAGCTCTCCAGCATCTCGGAAGATAATCCTCTTCCCTCCCAGGCTTCCTAACGTAGTCTGTCCAAAGTTTAGGTTCTCCATTACGACGTTAAAAGGATTTACATTTTACAGCATTTCAGAACTGTTATTTTTTCTTTTCTTCTTCTAAAAAAGGAGAGAGCCAGAGTAAACGTGCTGGGTTTTCCCCCCCGTTTTGTTTTGTGTCCTGCAGCTGACTTGGCTCCCAAGGACAAGCTCTTCTACGGCTTCCTGAAGCCCTGGCTTGGTAAGGTGTCTCCCTCTGGCAGCGTGTTGCTCCTCCTGCACGTGTGGCCCCGGGGGTGAGCGCGCATGGCGAAAGAAGGGCTCCTCTGAGGCCCACCGAGGCCCTGTTCCCCCGCCCTCCTGGGACACAGGGCTCCTCTCGCCTCGGGGCAGGGGCCTGAAACATGTTAATCTTCAAGGAGCATGAAAAACATGAAAGTGGTTGAGGTACTTCATAAAACTGGAATGTAGGATTCACTTTATAACTAGATAAATCTGAAAACCAAATACTTTAAAATCTAATAATCAAGTCTTGGAACATGTTTGTCTCATAAAATAAACAACATTGTAGCCAAGAAGACATATTTGAGGCTTGAGAGCGTGATTTGCATTCGCTAGCATTTTTAAGTTGACTTTTCACAATATTGTCTGGGGGGGGGGAGACTTGTAGAAATTCACCCTGTGACTTAGAGAAGAGGCAGAATGGATAACTGATAGTGAGACAGACAGAGGCTATAGCTGCAACCCAAGCAGATGATTCCAACAGCAGCAGCAGCAGCAGCGCTGGAAGAAGGGAATCAAATGGAAGGGGAAGTGCCCAGATGACGCTCCCTCTGGGGCAGAGGGGGAATCTTCTCAGATTTGGGGGGGGGGACGGACCCTGGGACCTGATTGCTGCAGTTGCTAGGGCTGGGGATGGTGTGGGAGGGATTCTAAACAATATTTAGAAGGCCTGGAGTTTGGGGAGGCAACTTCCAACTCTTTCCAACAAGGGCCACTGGGTCACTGTTGGTGTGGTGTGCCTAAAGAAGAGTGGATTGTACTTGAACAAAACTGAGTTAAATCTTATGCACAATTGTCACCTTTCGAATGGGCAGTTGGGAGGCAGCACCTATTCCTTCAAAAGAGATCATCCTGTAGCCACAGTGGTAGTCTAAGCCAGCCTCTTGGACCAGCAGTGTCTCCATCGTTCCCTAGAGAATCCAACCGTATTGATGCCCTTTGGGCAGAAACTGCATCAGAACTGGACCACTGGTCCATCTGCTTCATGATTCTTACCAAAAAGGAGACAGCCAGATGCCTTCAGGGTGGTTCATAACATCGATGCATCAGTTGTAGTCCAGAGCATCAGACACTCATAGGTATTCTCTGACTACCTTTGGCTAACAAAGCCCGTAGTCACTGATGGAATTGGATGAAGGACCACACAAAGTAGACACCTTCTGGCCCTGTGAACCGTCAGTCTCTCTGGAGGTTTTTCTGGCTATCCTTCAGATGTAACTTCTGGAGCTTCCTGGTTGACAACATATGAGATTTTGGCTGGCTGCTGGCAATTTCACCTCCCCGTGTGACTTTCAGTCAGCTGACCTCTTCTTGCCCTAGGCGATGGATTACTTCTGAGCGCTGGCAAGAAGTGGGGACGTCACCGGCGCATGCTTACCCCGGCCTTTCATTTTGACATCCTGAAGCCCTACCTGAAAATCTTCAACCAGAGCACGGACATCCTGCACGTGAGTGCCTCCGTTACGCCAGGCTCTCTGCAAATGCCCCCTTCCTCCCTTGCCTGCCTCCTCACCCATCCATCCAGGGCTCCACTTACATTAGAACGGGAGTCAGTTAGGAAGAGGGATCCAGGTGGTCTCTCTGTGTGTGTGACCTTTGTTCTGGTTTTCAGCTATTCTGCTCAGGCAATACTTTCTTTCTTGTTTTCAATCAAGTGGCACCTTCTGAACAGTGTTCCCTCTAAGCTGAGTTGGTGTGAGCCAGCTCACCGTTTTTTAGCCTCTGGCTCACGCATTTTTTGTCCTAGCTCAGGAAGGGATGGCTTCAGAGCAGACTAATTTATGCAGCAGCCAAATCGCTTGCTCACAACTTTAATGCCGGTAGCTCACAAAGTAGAATTTTTGCTCACAAGACTCCACTGCTTAGAGGGAGCATTGCTTCTGAACAAAGAGTTGTGCTTTTTTATCTAGGAAAACCCATGCCATTTAGGAGATGATGTGTTCAAAGCCATTTTACTTGAAGCCTGCGTTTGTGATTGTCAGTGTTCTTTTCTGGGTGTCATTACTGGCATTGCTTGTGACACCACAATCCTTGCTGCCCTTCACTTTCCATTACTTGCTCCAATACTTGTTCAAATCTGCAGCACCATTAAAAAATTAATTTTATGTACTTCAGAAGCTGCACATGCTCCTCCGTCCAGACTTGGCAACTGGAATCTCAGCGTTTTCTACAAATGGGGGTCTTGAATGTTTGAGCCCTTGAGCACCTGACTGTTACTGAGGGCTTGGGAGGGTCTGGAGGAAATGAACGGCAGCCAGGCTGCCTTCCTGCCAGAGGGAACCTTCCCACCGCCGGCTGATGGCGCCTCCCTTGCAACAGGGCAGCCAGTCCAGCCCAGCCCAGCCATCTCTGCCTTCATCCTTCATAACATTCTGGAAGACTCTGGTTGGGCTGGTTCAGATATAGATGTGCACTCACACACACACACCCCTTTCAGAATAGGCTTCTGGTTATGTTTCAGCTCACCTTCCCCACAGCTGTTCTTAAACACCAGAAGTTCACAGGTAGGGCAACATACAAACACATCATATTTTGACGCTCTCACCTTCAAGGTGGGATGCATTTGCTAGACAGGAGTTGAAATGGGTTTGGGGGAGAATAATAAGACCAAACATGCACCCAAACTCAGAGTGAAGTGCATGTACAAGAAGTAGTTTTCATCCGTTCCGTGCCCTGGCTCTCTGTCCACAGTTTTCTCCTGGTCTCTTTGCTCCCATGGCGTGTGCCCTCCCTTTCCCTCGGCTCACAGCCCTACCCAAAATCTGCTGGCTCTCTTTGCCAAGCCCCGTCTCCTCTCCCACCCCCTCCTCCCAAGCCTCCCTGCCATGCCGTTTGATGGACAAGCCCCGTTTGCTTCCTGCCAGCAACGACGACGACGACTCCAGCCTCTCGTGTCCTTCACAGGGCAAGTGGCGCAAGCTCACCACAGCCGGTGCGGTCTCGATGGACATGTTCGAGCAGATCAGCCTCATGACCCTGGACAGCCTGCAGAAATGCGTCTTCAGCTACGACAGCAACTGCCAGGAGTGAGTAGGCACCCGTGCAGCTGGCTCTTCTCCAGGGTCTCCCTTGCAGTCCTCCTGTGGTTCTCACTGTTATCCTCCATTGCATGTTTGGAGTTTCAGCCCCACATTGTGATGATTCTCGAGGCCAGGGGCATCTGTCCCCACCCAGGAAGAAGAGGACTTGCCCGCTTGTTCACAGACTTGGCACAGACAAGAGGACTGTCCCTCACGGGAGAGAAGCCAGTTGTGCAGAACACAGACTGGGGTGGAGAGAAAGGCTTCCACAAGCGATGGCCGTGTCTGTGCTTCAAGCTACGCGCTGGGACTAAGCTTCCGCGCAGTTCAGCCCTCGTGGCTTCCTCTAAACGAACCTCTGCTTTTATACCAAGAGTCCAAGGTTCCCTCTCAGCTGAGTGAGTGTGAGCTAGCTCACAGATTTTCAGCCTCCAGCTCACACATTTTTTTCTTAGCTCAGGAAGGAGAGCAAACTGATTCATGCCACAGCCAAATTGCTCACTCACAACTTTAATGCCAGGAGCTCAGAAAGCAGACTTTTTGCTCACAGGACTCCGCAGCTTAGAGGGAACATTGACCAAGACTTCCCCATTCAGGAGTCACAACAGGTTACCAGCTTTGTAAATGGCTCCGTTTTGTTCATGTACATTTAAAGAGTGGGTGTGGAGGGTCCCAAGAGGGTAGCTGTGGAAGTCTGTAGTAGAGACCTTTCTTAGGAGACTGGCTTATTGGGCACCATGACAATAGACAACACTTCACCAGACAACACCTAGATCAGGGGTCCCTCCACATTTTTGGATTCCGGCACAGTATAGTGGTTTGTGTCAAGGGTGGGGGGAGGTGTTTCCAGTTTCCACCATAGAGCGTCACTGAAGAGGGAGAGGGCATACGTTGCCGTTTCCTGTGAGGAGGCAGGCACACAGTGGCGGAAATTGGATAACAAAACCTGACACTGGCATGTGGCGTCTCCTCCTGCTAGCCATTCAGTGGCCCTGTGTCTGCACAGTGCCTCCATCATAGCCTTCTGACCTCCTCCAGAAAGGGCAACACACACCCCTTCCCCTCCAGTGGCCTTTGGTGATGGGAGCTGCAGCCTCTCAGTCAACCACTATGAATGCTGCTACTGACACCCACACAGCTTGCCTAGGTGAAAGCCTGAACAACACTTCTGAGAACACAGATTCTTAGACTCCAAGCCCAGCATTCCTTGAGCTACGTTTTCTTATGTTTTCTGTTGACAAGTGAACTTGCTGCATTCCAGGAGATCAAGTGACTACATCGCAGCCATCTTGGAGCTCAGTTCCCTGGTTGTGCGTCGGCAGTTTAATCTACTCCACTACTTTGACTGCTTCTACTACCTGACAGCCGATTGGCGCCGCTTCCGTCATGCTTGTAACATTGTGCACACTTTCACAGCGGATGTAATCCAGCAGCGGCGAGAGGCGCTGAGCCAAATGGGCCATGATGCCTGGCTCTGCTCCAAAAAGGGCAAGACCATGGATTTCATTGATGTCCTTCTGCTAGCCAAGGTACTGGGCCCGAGAGGGAGGGAGTAGTCAGCCTGTGTGGCGGGTATCTGAGCAGGAGACCTGCTTGGTGGGGGGGGGCACCAGATGTGTAGGGGGCCACCTGTGGAGGCCGTGGCAGAGGAAACCATGCACCAAGTGCAGAAATGAGGCCCATATGGAGAGGCCCTGCATTTTGGGGGCAGGATAGGGAGGGTGGCAAACTAAAGGCTGAAGATGTGTGATATTCTCACCCATGCAAAAGTTGCTGACTATTACTGACAGGTGCTGGTGATAGTCCCAACTGGTAACCTTCTGCTTCCATGACTAAAGGGAACCTTCACATTCAGAGGCAGGAAAGCTCTGAATCCCAGAGCCAGGAGGCAGCATCAGGGGAAGGCCTCGGCCTCTCTGCCCTGTTGCTGGCCCTCCAGAGGAACTGGCTGGCCCCTGTGTGAGATGGGAGGCTGGACTAGAGGGACCCTCCCTGGTCTGATCCAGCAGGGCTCTTCTGGTGCTCTTATCAGGGGAAGGCCTCGGCCTCTCTGCCCTGTTGCTGGCCCTCCAGAGGAACTGGCTGGCCCCTGTGTGAGATGGGAGGCTGGACTAGAGGGACCCTCCCTGGTCTGATCCAGCAGGGCTCTTCTGGTGCTCTTATCAGGGGAAGGCCTCGGCCTCTCTGCCCTGTTGCTGGCCCTCCAGAGGAACTGGCTGGCCCCTGTGTGAGATGGGAGGCTGGACTAGAGGGACCCTCCCTGGTCTGATCCAGCAGGGCTCTTCTGGTGCTCTTATCAGGGGAAGGCCTCGGCCTCGATGCCCTGTTGCTGGCCCTCCAGGGGAACTGGCTGACCCCTGTGTGAGACGGGATGCCGGACTAGATGGACCTTCAATGGCCTGACCAAGCAGGGCTCTTCTGAGGTTCTTCTCAGGGGAAGGCCTCAGCCCCTCTGCCCTGTTGTTGGCCCTCCAGAGGAACTGGCTGGTCCCTGAGTGAGACAGGAGGCTGGACTAGTTGGAGACCCAGCTGAGCTCTGAGCAGGAGCAGGAGGGAGAGCTGCTAGAGGGGTGAGTGGTTTTTTTACTTGCTTTCAGCTGAGTGGATTCAGCTGAGGATATTGTGTGGGAAAACTGTGTTTAGCAGTGTGTGGAAGCGCTTAGAGTTGTTGCAGAGTCCTGGCTGATTGAGGGAAGGAGAGGAACGGGCATTGTTTGGGATTGACTGTAATTTGGGATTGACTGTAAGTATTTAAGAAAGCACCTTGCCAGAGGCACGAGCCTCTGGCACAAGCCGAAGGGCTCTTAGCCTAGGGACTCTTAGACTAGGGGCTCTGTAAGAAGCCCAAAAAGAGCCAGAAAGACAAGGCCCTAGGCTCTTTGTCTTTCCCGTAAAGTAATTTGACTTCGATAAGAAAAACCACATAAATACCAAGGGTTTTAAAAGGGGGATTATATTTACCTATTTTAAAAGAATTATGAAGCCAGAATGCCAGCAGGGGGTTGGGGGCTATCCAGTGTTTTGCACGGAGTGTCACACGTATGACTATCTGTCCACAGGGCAGAAGTCTTGGGTGTGTGCTCAGTGCAAGGAGCTCCTGGTTCTCAGGGAACGTGTGTGCTCTCTTGAGGCCAAGGTGGCTGACCTGGAGAAGCAGAGACAGTCAGTTAGGCACACAGAAAAGACTCTCGGGGACTTGTTAGATACGTCCCACTCTGGATCTGGCAGCCCCGCTGCTGTCAGGGAGCATGAGGGTCTAGGGGAAACAGGGCACCATGCTGAGGATAAGGGGAATGTGCCCTCAGAAGGGACCTCTTCCCCAGCTGGTGAGCAGGTATCCTTTTGCACCAAGGAACCAACCATCCCTGGGAAGGGTGAGAGGGGGGCTCTTGGTAGTGGGTGATTCGATCCTTAGGCAGGTAGACAGCTGGGTGGCGAACCCGCGTACTGACCGTATGGTGACTTGCCTGCCTGGTGCGAAGGTAGCGGACATTACGCGTGTTTTAGATAGGCTGGTAGATAGTGCTGGGGAGGAGCCAGTGGTCGTGGTGCATGTCGGCACCAACGATGTGGGGAAATGCAGTCGTGAGGTCCTGGAGGAGAAATTTAGGATGCTGGGCAGGAAACTTAGGTCCAGGACCTCCAAGGTAGCCTTCTCAGAAGTGTTACCTGTTCCACGCGCAGGGCCGGAGAGACAGGCAGAGATCAGGAGTCTCAATGCGTGGATGAGACGATGGTGTAGGGGGGAAGGGTTCAGGTTTGTTAGGCACTGGGATACTTTTTGGAACAAGAGGGAGCTGTACAGGCGAGACGGTCTCCACTTGTCCCGAGAAGGAACCAGGCTGCTGGCACTTAAAATCAAAAAGGTGGCAGAGCAGCTTTTAAACTGAATATTGGGGGAAAGCCGACAGGAGATGAAAAGTCTCTGGTTCGGGTTGGCTCATCTGAGAGAGGTGAGGGGGTACCGGTTGCTTTTCTACAGGGAGGTGGATTGAAATTGTCCACAGAGGCCATGGCTGGTGACATGGACTGCCGGACAACGACTCGAGATAGCAAGAGGAAGGATGCAGGCTTAACTTGTAAGGGAAATTACAGCTGTTTCTATACAAATGCTAGAAGTGTCCGAGGTAAAATCGGGGAGTTGGAGTGCTTGGTGTCGGAGGGAAAAATAGACATTGTGGGTATTTCTGAAACTTGGTGGGATGAGGAAAATCAGTGGGACACAGTGATTCCCGGTTATATATTATATCGGAAGGATAGGGGGGGAAGGGTTGGAGGTGGGGTAGCTCTGTATGTCAGAGAGGGTATAAAGTCTAGAAAGATTGAGAGGCTAAGTGAATTGGATTCGCTTCTGGAAGTTCTATGGGTTGAAATAGGGGGGCCAAAAGGAAACTTAACACTGGGAGTTTGTTATCGCCCACCAGATCAAAAGATAGAGGAGGATTATAAAATGATGAATGCCTTAAAGATAGCAACTAGACAAAAACACTGTGTAATAATAGGTGATTTTAACTACCCACACATTGATTGGGTCAATATGTGTTCTAGCCGGGAAAAAGAGATTGAGTTTCTAGACACTCTAAATGACTGTGCTATGGAGCAGATGGTCACGGAACCTACCAGGGGAGAGGCGATCCTTGATTTGGTCCTAAGTAACACTCAAGACCTGGTGAGAGATGTAAAAGTGATTGCACCGCTTGGAAACAGTGATCATAATGTTGTTGAGTTCATCATTTGTACAAATAGAGAATTGGCCAAAAAGACTCACACAACCATTTTTAACTTTAAAAGGGGTAATTTCTCTGATATGAGGGGACACGTGGGGAGGAAACTGAAAGGAAAAGTAGAAAGGGTCAAAACAATTGGGGAAGCTTGGGATCTATTTAAAACTACGATCCTAGAAGCTCAAAAAATATATATTCCGCAGGTTAGGAAAGGCACAAACAGGTATAGGAAAAAGCCTGCATGGTTAACAAACAGAGTAATGGAGGCTGTAAAAAGTAAAAAGAATTCCTTTAAGCAGTGGAAAGCTAGTCACAGTGAGGCTGATAAAACGGAACACAGGCTATGGCAAATAAAATGCAAGTCTGAGGTCAGGCAGGCAAAAAGGGAATATGAGGAGCATATAGCAAAAAACGTAAAAACCAACAATAAAACTTTCTTCAAATACATTAGAAACAGGAAACCAGCCAGGGAGGCAGTGGGGCCCTTGGACGACCAAGGGGTAAAAGGAGTATTGAAGGATGATAGGGAAATGGCTGAGAAGCTAAATGCATTTTTTGCCTCCGTCTTCACTGTGGAAGATGAGAAGTGCTTGCCCACTCCAGAACCACTGATTTCAGGAGGGGTGTTGAAAGACCTGAGTCAGATTGAGGTGACGAGAGAGGAGGTCCTAAAACTGATAGACAACTTAAAAACTGAAAAATCACCAGGCCCAGATGGCATACATCCGAGAGTTCTGAAAGAACTCAAATGTGAACTTGTAGATCTCCTGACAAAGATATGTAATCTTTCCTTAAAATCTGCCTCCATTCCTGAGGATTGGAAGGTAGCTAATGTCACTCCCATCTTTAAAAAGGGTTCCAGAGGAGATCCGGGAAATTACAGGCCAGTCAGTCTGACGTCGATACCGGGTAAATTGGTGGAAACCATTATTAAGGAAAGAATTAGTAGGCACATAGATGAACAAAACCTATTGAGGCAGACTCAGCACGGTTTCTGTAAGGGAAGATCTTGTCTCACTAACCTGTTAGTGTTCTTTGAGGGGGTGAACAAACATGTGGACAAGGGGGATCCAATAGATATTATTTACCTTGACTTCCAGAAAGCTTTTGATAAAGTTCCTCATCAAAGGCTCCTAAGTAAGCTCAAAAATCATGGGATAGAAGGACAAGTCCTTTTATGGATCAAAAACTGGCTAGTTCATAGAAAACAGAGAGTGAGTGTAGGTGGGCAATTTTCTCAGTGGAGGGTGGTAAGCAGTGGGGTACCGCAGGGATCAGTACTTGGTCCACTGCTTTTTAACTTGTTCATTAATGATTTGGAGATGGGAGTAAGCAGTGAAGTGGCTAAATTTGCGGATGATACAAAGTTGTTCAGGGTGGTGAAAACCAGTGAGGATTGTGAGGCACTCCAAGGGGATCTGTCAAGGATGGGCGAGTGGGCGTCAACATGGCAAATGGGGTTCAATGTGGCCAAGTGCAAGGTGATGCACATTGGAGCCAAAAATCCTAAATATAAATACACATTGATGGGGTCTGAACTGGCAGAGACTGAGCAAGAGAGAGATCTTGGAGTTGTAGTGGATAACTCACTGAAAATGTCGAGACAGTGTGTGACTGCAATAAAGAAGGCCAATGCTATGCTGGGGATTATTAGGAAGGGTATTGAAAACAGATCAGCCAATATAATAATGCCCCTATATAAATCAATGGTGAGACCTCATTTGGAATACTGTGTGCAGTTCTGGGCACCACACCTTAAAAAGGATATTATAGCTTTGGAAAAAGTGCAGAAAAGGGCAACTCGAATGATAAAAGGGTTGGAACACTTTCCCTATGAGGAAAGGTTAAAGCGCTTAGGGCTCTTTAGCTTGGAGAAAAGACGACTGAGGGGTGACATGATCGAGGTTTATAAGATTATGCATGAGAAAGAGCAGGTAGAGAAAGAGGTACTTTTCTCCCTTTCTCACAATACAAGAACTCGTGGGCACTCCATGAAACTGCAGAGCGGTCGGGTTAGAACGGATAAAAGGAAGTACTTCTTCACCCAAAGAGTGATTAACACATGGAATTCACTGCCACAGGAAGTGGTGGGTGCTACAAGCATGGACGGCTTCAAAAGGGAATTAGATAAGCATATGGAGCAGAGGTCCATCAGTGGCTATTAGCCACAAGGTATAGCTAGGGGCTCTGGGGCAAGTGATGCTCTGTCTTCTTGGTGCTTGGGGGGGGGGTCAACAGTGGGAGGGCTTCTAATGTCCTGGCCCCACTGCTGGACCTCCTGATGGCACTGGTATTTCTGGCCACTGTGTGACACAGAGTGTTGGACTGGATGGGCCTTTGGCCTGATCCAACATTGGCGTCTCTTATGTTCTTATGTTCTTAAATGTAGGAGCAGGACCAGGGTACTTTAATCCATCAGGGATGGAAGGCCTCTCTGCCCTGTTGTTGGCCCTTCAGAGGAACTGGCTGGCCACTGTGTGAGACGGGATGCTGGACTAGAGGGATCCTCACTGGTCTGACCGAGCAAGGCTTTTCTTCGGTTGGGTCTTGGTAGTCACCTGTAGCTGCTTCTTATGTTCCTATCAGTGGCTATTAGCTGTAAGGTATAGATAGAACACTCTCTCTGGGGCAGTGATGCTCTGTGTTCTTGGTGCTTGGGGGGGGGGGCAACAGTGGGAGGGCTTCTTGAGTCTGGCCCTGCCAGTGGACCTCATGATGGCTACTTGTGTTTCTGGCCACTGTGTGACACAGAGTGTTGGACTGGATGTGCCACTGGCCTGATCCAACATTGGCTTCTCTCTTATGTTCTCTTATGTTCACCTTGCTTTGTGTTTGCAGGATGAAAAGGGACGACACCTCTCCGATGAAGACATTGCAGCAGAGGCTGACACCTTCATGTTTGAAGGCAAGAGACACGCTAGTCTGGTCTTTGCAGCCATTGACTGTCAAGGAGAAACAGGGAGGAAACAAGGCCCAGGCCCTCCCCCTAAAGAAGTCTCTGGCAGGGGAGCTGGCTGCCTTTGTGAGCCTTGGAGATCTCGGCCACCGGCACTCTGGCAGCGCAATCCTGTGCATGTTGGCTCAGAAGTACTCACAGGAGTGTAGTCTTTGCATGTCTGAGTGGTGTGTTCTGTCCAAGAGGGCATTGTTCTCCTCATGCTCCTATCCGTGGTCCTGGCCTGGTGCTGCCCTGGGTTAGACTCACAGACTCATAGAGTTGGAAGGGACCTCCAGGGTCATCTTGCCCAACCTCCTGCACAATGCAGGGAATTCACTAATACCTCCCCTTCCACACCCACAGTGACCCCTGTTCCATGCCCAGAAGATGACAAAAACCTCCAGGATCTCTGGCCAATCTGGCCTGGACAAAAATTGATTCCTGATCCCAAAGTGGCGATCAACATTTCCCTGGGTGTGTAAGAAAGGGCCACGAGAACCAAGCACTGAGGCAACCCTTCCTGCCCTCCCTCTCATGATCTGCCTAAGTCACATAATCAGCATTGCTGTCAGGTGGCCACCTAGCCTCTGTTTTAAAAACTCCAAAGAAGGAGAGCCCACCACCTCCCGAGGAAGCCTGTCCCACTGCGGAACTGCTCTGTCAGATAGTTCTTCCTAATGTTTAGCCGAAAATTTGTTTGATTTAATGTCAACTCATTGGTTCTGGTCTAACATTCTGGGGCAACAGATAACAACTCCACACCATCCTCTCTAGGACAGCCCTTCAAGGACTTGAAGATGGTTATCCTATCACCTCTCAGTCGTCTCCTCTCCAGGCTACACATACCCAGCTCCTTCAACCTTTCCTCATCAGACTTGATCTCCAGACCCCTCACCATCTTCATTGCCCTCCTCTGGACACATTTCATCTTGTCTATATCCTTCTTAAATTGTGGTGCCCAAAACTGAACACAGTACCCAAGGTGAGGTCCAACCAGAGCAAAGTAAAATGATACCATCACTTTGCATGATCTGGACACTGTACTTCTGTTGATACAGACCAAAATTGCATTTGCCTTTCTAGCAACCGCATCACACTGCTGACTCATGTTCAGTGTATGGTCTACTAAGACCCCTAGATCCTTTTCGCACATACTGCTACCAAGACAAGCCTCCCCCAATCCTATAATTATGCATTTGATTTTTCCTACCTAAATGCAGAACTTTACATTTCTCCCCATTGAAATTCATTTAATTTCTTTTAGCCCAGTTTCCCAGACTGTCAAGATCATCCTGTATCCTGACTCAGTTTGCTACCCCTCCCAATTTAGTATCATCTGCAAATTTAATAAGCATCCCCTCTATCCCTTCATTCAAATAATTTATAAAAATGTTGAACAGAACAGGTCCCAGGACAGATCCCTGAGGCACTCCACGTCACTCCTCTCCAAGAAGATGAGGAACCGTTCACAAGCACTCTTTGGGTGCGACCTGCAAACCAGTTCCAGGTCCACCTAACAGTCACGGGATCCAAACCATATTTTACCAACTTGTCATCAAGACTATTATATGGAACCTTATCAAATCCTTACTTAAATCATGATAAACTATGTCTACAACATTCTCCTGATCCAGCAAGGTAGTAACTTTCAAAAAAGAGAGAGAGAGAGAGAGAGATAAGGTTAGTCTGACATGACTTGTTCTTGAGAAACCCATGCTGGCTCTTAGTAATCACATCCATCCTTTCTAAATGCTGAAGGACTGACTGACTGATGATTTGTTCTAGATGTCAAGCTGACAGGTCGGTAGTTGCCTAGATCCTCCTTTTTCCCCTTCTTGAAGATGGGGATGACATTTGCCCACCTCCAGTCTTCTGGCACCTCACCTGTTTTCCAAGAATTCTCAAAAATAACAGAGGCTCAGAAGTTATATCTGTGAGTTCTTTTATGCAATTGGATGCAATTAATCTGGCCCTGAGGACTTAGTTTCATTTCAAGAAAGTAGGTGTTTATGTACTACCCCAATGTCGATCCTAGGCTGCAGCTCCCTTCCCTCATCGTGTATTGTTTTTGCCATGTTGAGCACCATTTCCCTTGTAAGAGAAGATGGAGGAAAAGTAGGAATTCAGCAGTTCTGCCCTCTCTCCATCACCTGTTACAATTTCACTTTCCTGTCTCCGCAATGTGCCTATTATGTCCTTGCTCTTTTTCTTACTTTGAACATAACAAAAAAACCCTTTTCCCCTTGTTTTTAGCATCTCTTGCTAGCCTAAGCTCATACTGAGCTTTAGCTTTTCTAACACTCTCCCTGCAATCACTGGTTATTTGTTTACATTCATCCTTGGTTACAAGGCTTCCCTCCCACCTCCTAAATGAATCTTTTTTATTTCATACGTCTTTAGAAAGCTATTTATGGAGCCACCTTAACTTTATTTAACTTATTTTAACTTTAGGCTTTATATCCCGCTCGAACCCCCTTCTCAGGGGGTCTCTGAGCGGCTTACATGTGGTGCTAGTCACACAATTTTATCCTAACTAGGGCCACAGAATTTGTAGGGGTGGGGTTTCCTACCGGCACCCCTGTGGTGATTGATTGGCATGCTCGTTCTCGGCTTGGCCCTTCGCTCGTCCGCGGCGGGCTCCCTTTCGATCCAGTGGCAGTTCTTCCTTCGGGCGCACGGTTTCCGCCTTCCTCTGGTTCCAGCAACATCCTTCCGGCTTCTGCTTTACACCAGCGTCTGACGTCATCATGCGCCCGTCTCGACAGCGGCTGCCCGGATGTCTCCTCCTTTCTGGCCAGCAGGGATCGCTCCGTTGGTCGCAGTAGCTTGCTGCTGCCGCCGCCGTCCACCGCACCACGCCACCTCCGATCTCCAGGGCCAATGTCTCACCGCCGCCGCCGCAATCTCCACCATTTTTGCCGCCATCTCCGCCATCGACCACCACATTAGGCAGGGTGCCCCCCACCCTACTAAGGGTGGGTACTCATTTACCTACTTGCAACTAGTTGCTTTCGGACCTTGGCTTCTTTAGGCTCCTCCCATTTTCCCTTCTCCTAGGAATCATTTTGTGGTTGTGCCTTCAGTATTTTGCTTTTAAGAAACTCCCGTCCCTCTTGAGCTCCCTTCTCCTGAAGCATTTCTAACCATGGGATCCTACCCAGCATAACTGTCAAAATTTGCTCTCCTGAAGTCCCACCTATATGTCTGACTACCTGCAGCTTTTATCTTCCCTAAGATTGTAAATTCCAAAATTACATGGTCACTACTACCCAGGGTAGTAGCCACCAAATGAGAAGGGAGCACTCACTGGAGAAGACCCTGATGCTGGGAAAGATTGAAGGTCAAAGAAGACGGGGACGGCAAAGGATGAGATGGTTGGACAGTGTCATCGATGCAACGAACATGAAATTGAGCCAACTTCAGAGGACGGCGGAAGACAGGAGGGCCTGGCGAGATCTTGTCCATGGGGCCGCGAAGAGTCGGACTCGACTGTGCGACTGAACAACAACAACTACCCAGGGTGCCCTCAACCAGTTCTTCCCTGATAGAATCATCCAAGACAGCAGATCCCCTTGTTTCCCTCTCCATTTCCTGACTTGTCAACAAGACTAGTCAGGAATTTATAGGACCTTTCATTTTTAGCAGAGTTGGACTTCCAACAGATATCTGGGTAATTGAAATCTCCCATGACCACCGTGTCCTCTCATCCACAAGGGCCTGAGAAGTTTACTTCAAGGTTCATGGAGGCTGGAGGAGTAGCCCTTGTTCCAGTAGTCCAGAAGCAATATCTATGGGGAGAGCCAGGAACCGACTGCTTAGCAACAGAGGCTCAGAATGTCTCCTGATTTTCCTGCTCCTGTGGGTTACATTCTTCCATGCACCCTCCTCCTGTGTTGGGTACTGTTCACCTTCCCTTATGAGATGGAGTATGGACAAGTGTGCCTCAGGTCCCTGTATCTTCTCCTCCAGTAGGGCTACCAATTTACACTTGCTGCAAGAGTAACTGCTGTTACCCTCGGGTAAGACTATGAACATGTTGCAGACTTCGCATGTCACTGCCTCAGCTCCCTCACCACCTATTCTGCTGCAATCCATGACAGAAATGGTTCATTTTTTCCTTGCACTTCCCTGATAACTGCCTCGCCAAACTGCCTCACAAGTCTCATTGAGAAAGGCTTGCAGAAGCAAAAAAAAGAAAAAAAAGCTTAACATGCATAGGATGTAAGAGCTACTCAGCTTCTTACAGGGCCCGCAGGCCTGACCCCCACGGTTCTGTCGCATTCCACACTCAGCCTGTGCCCACAGCTTTCATGAGTAGATAGTCTTGTGCTGGCTCCCTGCAGAAGGTCTTAGCTTAGACTCAAGGTTTTGGTTTCAAGCCTCAGACCCCCATCTAGGCTTCCCTGTATGCCCGCAGGAAGGGCAGCATGCCTCTCCGGTGCCTTCGGCATCTGATGTGTGCCAGGCTGGTGCGTGACTTGCCCTTGCCTTCAGAGACTGCCGTGCTCTCTAATCTCTCCAGCCACCTTTCTCAGCAGAGCTCTGCAGTGGGCCCATTTTCAGAGGGCACCCCCGGGCGGGGGGTGGGTGGGTTCTGTTTTAATAGTTTCTGAAGTTTCTAAACTGCCTGTTAAATGTGGGTAGACCATTCTGAACCCACATTTGATGGGAAGTCCCACTGATTTATAGATGCTCACTAGAAACACTGAACTCCAGAAACCAAGCCCAGAAGAACATGCAAATTAGGTACAAATGTGCACCCAGTAGAGTTCCATGTGCAGAACACAGAATACAGAACTGTAGGCTAGGAGAGATGGATGGAAGCTAGAGTGCCTCAGTCCCATCAGCTGTCTGGCTGAACAAACAGGTGGCAGGGTCTCACGTGGCCTCCCTCTCTCTCTCTCTCTCTCTCACTGCAGGACATGACACCACAGCCAGTGGGTTGTCATGGGTGCTGTATAATCTGGCTCGACACCCCAAGTATCAAGACCAGTGCCGTGAGGAGATTCAGGATCTGCTGCGAGACCGGGAGACGGAAGAGATTGAATGGTGAGAGGCTGGAGGCATCGGGCAGGCGGCTGGAGGGGGGTCCCAATTGGAATCCACCCAACTCCAGCCCCAAAAGGACTGTGTATTACGGCTGCACAAGCTTGCATGACAAGAGAAAGAGAGAGGTTTTTTTCCCCCCCTGGATTCTGATTTTATCCTGCAGAAGACACTACTGCATATGGGTGAAAATGACGGGGCTTGGGAGAGGAGGGCTGCACTGGAACACACGCGCAAGTCTTTCATGATTTAAGAGGCACCTTAAAACATGCTGCACACTGATTTAGAAACATTCCCTAAAATTCTGGAACTCCACAAATCAAACCGAAGGGAACATACACATTAGGTAAAGCGTGAACAAGCGTTTCACAAACTATTTGAGCGCCGTCTCCACCAAAATTTAGTCTACCTTTTGAGGCTTCCATCCCAGCAGTGACCTTTTCTTTCACAGGCAGGTTCGTCCACCACAACTTGATTGCGGGGATCTGCAGGCCGGGGTACTGTTTAGCCAGGTAGTTCCAGGTGGGTAGTCATGTTAGCAGGAGGAGAGGAGAACGCAATTTCCCAGGGTGTAGGAGCTTTGATGCACAAAAGCTCATCCCCTGTAAAATATTGTTGGTCCTTAAGATGCTACTGGGCTCAAATTTTGCTCATTTTGACAAGGTTTCTGAAAAGTACTGAGACTTACTAGTGATTTCAGCTCATACTTTATTTCAGCTTAGAACAAGACGAGAGTACCCAGCTCACAGGCCGGTTTATATGTGCACAAACCCCGCTCCCCAAACACACCCACACACAAGTGATTGGCTGTTTACAGTGGCCAAGAGTTCCATAGGCTCTCGGCCAGGAGCCTAGCCTGCTGATAGGTGCCGGCCAGGATCCACTTGTCCCATTGTTACTGAGAGCGAAGCTCTGTCGCTTCGCCTGACCGCGTGGCGAAATGGCCGCGCACGCGTTCTGAGATGGATACATTACGGTTTCTCTGCTCTTTCCTCAAATCGCACACCATTAGAACTCAGCTGAACTCCTTCTAAATCAGGGAGCCTTCCCAGTCCAAGGTGGATCAGTGAGGATCCTTCTGCATTCCACGCATCTGTTTTGGCCACTAGTGAGTGGAAGAACGACAAAGCCTCTGTTTGTCTCAGGATCCTGTTTTTGCTAGTTTCTCTCTCTCTCTCTCTCTCACATACACACACTTCCACATGTCCTGTGGTACTGAATCTGAGAGCCACTGCTGCAGATGTAGGCACAAAGCCCACCTGCCACCTCAGCTCACTGATAACAGGGGACCTGTGCAAGGGGCCCCATCCCGCCAGGCTGCCTTCTCCCCTGAGAATCCCCGTCGACTGTTTGTCCTCCAAGACGGTGGTTTCCCTCCTCCTCCTCCTCCCCCCTCCCTCCCTCCCTCCCAAGGGAGACAGACGAGTGGGGTCCTCACAGCCCAGGACAAGGTAATGTGAAGGTATCCCGAAGATGGCTCTCTTGTGGCAGGGACACCTGCTCCTGAGGGCCGTTTCTTGCACCATCTCACACGAGCAGCTGTTTGGAGCAGCTCCTAAGAGCTGGGCTCCAGGCCTCCCAGGTGTTTTCTTCCTCATCGGTGCCATACTTATGTCCTGAGAGGGGTGTGGCTTGGCCTTCCGAGTTGCCCTTGGAGGATGGGGGCAGTGCGGTAGTTGATCCCCCCCAGAGGTTAAAGCCCTGGCAGGTTCCCAGGAGCTATCAGAGGAAATGCGATCAGTAGTGGCTGCTGGACCCAGAGTCCAGGTGGCCCTAGTTGGGGGGCAGAGACTGGGACCGCCCCCCTTGGGAACGGTGAGCTCCTCTCATCTGAGTATTGTTGTATGTACACTTCCGTCCTGGGATGAAACAGAGGGTAAGTCAAGGTTGCTGGCATTCGGTCTCTTGAGGGTTTGTTTCTTGAACGAGGCGGCTGATTTTGGGTGTACGGCCTCCTCGGACTCCTCGTGTCGCCAGGAGGAGAGCGAGCAGAGGGGCTGCTGGCTAAAGCCGTCTGCAGCAGTGATGCTGTCCCAGTCAGTGGGACACATTCAGCAGTGTGATGTTTGGAATCTTCCCTCTTCTCAGGGGGGACTTGTCGCAGATGCCCTTCACCACCATGTGCATCAAGGAAAGCTTGCGCCTGCACCCACCGGTCACCCTTGTCTCTCGCCGCTGCACTGAGGATGTGAAGCTGCCTGACGGACGAGTCATCCCCAAAGGTATCTCTCTCATTCCCTTTCAGCCGTGGCTCAGTGATGATAACACATCTGATCTGAATGGAGACGGTGGTAGATTCAGTCCCCAGACAGTGTCCCCAGATATAGTAGGTGGTGTCAAAGACTTCCGCCTGAGACAAAGGGGGGCCCGCTGCTAGCCATAGCAGACAACACTGGCCTCCTGGGTGGCCCAGCGGCCAGGCTCGGTCAAGAGGCAGCTCCCCTCCTTCATACGTGTGTGCGGCATATGCCCTCTGCGTCAGGAGTCTGGCAGGTGGGTTCTTCTCTTCTCCCCTCCCTGCACCTTGCAGCAGGAGTCGTCAGACCGAAGATGCTGAAATGCGAGAGATGTGTTTTAGCATTCTGGGAACGTGCCACGCTCTGAACCTAAACACAATATGCAAACTGGTTAAACCCACATGGGCATGGGCACTCTCAGGTGTATGGTAATAAACGTTACAGAGTTTGGATTGCAAAATACCTTTGATGGACTCAGCCCCAAACCCAGAGAAGTGGGTTAATTGGCTTGCTATTCTTACGCTATGGATCTCGTATTTATGCCCCGTTATGGGAGGGCCTGTAGCTTAGTGAGGAGGAGCACACAGTTCAGTCCCTGGTGTGAGGAAGGAGCAGGAGAATGTGCTGCCACTGTGAGTGGACATGACCAGCGTCCTCCTGAGAGGAGAAATCCTATGAGGCATGTTGCATTCACTTGACACCAAGTCTGTTTTTCCTGGGCAAACGGTTTTGTTTCAGGGTAATGCAGTTGGCGCACAGGGATCTGTATTAACACTTCCCACAAAACCATGTTACGAAACAGTGAAAAGAACTCACCTTCGTGATAGTCTTTAACAGCCACTAATGAGTGTAGAAGTGATGCAGCAGGGCATTGAAGAGAAGCCGGTCTCTAAATGATGCCCAAACAACACATCCTGAGGGGACACTGCCTGTGCTGCCAACTTGTGCCTTTCCTCAGTAATGTGTACTTAAAAAGACAGGGTGACATTTTACCTTTCTCTTGCCCTTCTGCTCTGCTCTATGGCGAGTGCACTTCTTGCTTCAACCACCTGTTACAGGGCAGAGGCGGGAGGTGGGTCAGCGGCACCCTCACAGGTCTCTGTAGAGCTGCCAACGCTTGGAAGGCACAAACCTGGCAAGGGACGGAGCCCGGTGAAAACCCATCTGTGCAGGAGCAGGCTCCGGCCGTCCAGGGACGAGGCCCCATGGGTGGGGTGGGGGGAGCAGAAGGGACTGACGTCCCAAGAGGGAAGCACTCCACTCTTTGCCCTTCACTTCAGGCAGCGGCCCCCCCCCCCCCGGACACCCTTGCCCTTTTGTAGCTCCCTCCCACCCCCTGCCTCCCCCTTTTCATTTTTCCTTCTGTGCACTTTCACACTCATCAGAGGCTTTTCTCTTCCCCAGGGACTGTCTGCCTCATCAGTATCAACGGGACCCATCGTAACCCTGCTGTCTGGCCTCAGCCGGAGGTACGGCCTCCTACTCTCCTGACTTCACAGCCTTGTCCTGATCCATCTCGGGGATCTGGGGGGGGGGCAGACCTCGAAGGGCTCCTGTAGGGCATCCTCTCCTTTTTAAAGTCAAGCTGAGCCCCGTTTGTTTAATTTCCAAATTCATATCCCGCCTTCTGTTCACTTCGATGCCCCAAGGCCCCTCAAACAAGGTTATTGCTCTAGAGGTCTATATAAGACTTCAGCCTGGGCTCCCGTCGAAACCCAATAAAGCACCTTCCGTGAAACAGCAAAACAGACGAAAAACAGCACAAAGAAGAAATCATCAAAACAGTGCTTGAATGGACATGTTTTTCGGTTTCTTCTAAGGAAACACTTATGATGGCTTTCATTATAGTAATATCCTACCTATTTCTTTTGGGAACAGAACTGCAAGTTTAATGTGTCCAGAAAGCATTCCTTGCTGGAGCAACTGAAAAAAAACCCAACCTCATGGCTCTGTTGCAAAGTCGCAAAATCTGTTCCAGCCTTTTTCACAGGCCATGCATTAGTGTCCTCCCTGCCTGGCTGGAGAGTGTCTGGACACGAACAGAGTACCTTTTCGTGGACAGCAACAGTCAGGCCTCTGGGATTCAGAAAACATTTGAATCTGACGAATGGGTGAAACAACTGCCTTTCCTCCTGTCGAATGTCCGCCTGCCCAGTCTCTCCCCCCCCCATCCAAGACAGAACCCCTCTTCCAAGCTGCTGGCTGCTGAGGTCCTTCAGGAGCCCCCCCCCCCCCCCCCGAGAGGGTATGCCAGCAGCCAGCCAAGCGGGCGGGGGGGGGGCGGGCAGGAGGGCACCGGGAGACATAAAAGGGCCCATTTTGTGTCCAGAAACAGACAGGCCAATCTCTGTGCTCTGGACGTCCTCCCGGTTTCCCACTTGCTTCCTTTCTTGCAGGTCTATGACCCGTACCGCTTTGATCCAGGGAACTGCCAGCAGCAGCCCCCCCTGGCCTTTCTGCCCTTTTCAGCCGGACCCAGGTAGGCAGGCAGGCTCAGGCCTCTTGGGCGGGGTGGGGGGGTCCTCCCGCATGGGTTGCCGGGGAGCCTCTGATGCCTCAGGGCACGGCTCTCCTTTGGGAGCCACCAAAAGCGCAGGTGTGGCCACACTCCTCCCCCCCCCCAGGGGAAGGCCACCAGTGGATGGGGGAAGGAGCGCCAGCCAGCCAGCCACCTGCCTCCTGCTGAGCTAGCCTCTCTCTCTCTCTCTCTCCCTCTCTGTCTCGCCTTTGCAGGAACTGCATCGGGCAGAACTTTGCCATGGCGGAGCTCAAAGCGGTCCTGGCGCTGACTCTCCTGCGGTTCAGAGTGGGGCTGGACGAGAGCCAACCCGTGCGGCGGATGCCCGAACTAATCCTGCGGGCAGAGAATGGCCTCTGGCTGCGGGTGGAGCCCCTGCGGGCGGCGGCATCATGACCAGAGAAGAGAAAAGAGGAAACAACCCCCCCCCCCGCGGAATAAGGCCTTTAGCCTCCACTGTCATGTCGAAAGGGGCTCTGTGGTGCCACAATAAACGTAACCATAGATTTGTCCGTCTTTAAGGACTCCTCCTCACTGTTTTGACTGTGACAGACCCAAACCCATCTGGAGGCAGGCAGGCAGCCCTCTCTGGGTACCAACTGCAAGGGGAATACTGGCAGAGAGAGAGATCCGTGCGCTCCGGAGGAGACGAGACGGGACGGCAGTTCTGGAGGGCGGGGGAAGCACAAGCCCTATGGAGGAACTGCAGAGGGTGGGGAGGGTGGAAGAGCTCACTGTTTCGGGGGGGGGGGGGGAGAGACAAAAACCTTCGCCCGGCCAAGGGAGGAGGGACGGCGTCCTGGGTGGGCGAGCGGCATCCACGCCACCGGGCTCACTTGCTTGCGGGACCCCTCCAGGACCCACAACACAACCTCCCCCCCCCGTCCTCCTCCTGTGGCGCCACCAACATGCCTTGTGGGTGGCTGCCCCATGCACAAATGTGCCCGCGTGCTCCCCCCGTTGCCGAATTGGAAACACACAGTCAGAGTCCAACGAGTTAGATGGACATCTGTTCAATGCATATAAAACAGGGGACTACGGGGGTGGTGGTGGGTTGAGCGCCTTATTTATTATTTATTTATTTTATTATATTTATACCCCACCCTCCCCGCGGACGGGCTCAGGGCGGCTCACATAGGGCACAAAGTGCATACGATATACAAAATTACATAATACAAAAATACAAATTCATAAAACAGATTAAAATCAGTTCTACGGATGCACATATAAGCTTCTAACATCTTGTGTAGCAGGGGGGGGGAAGGCTGGGGTACTGAGAAGATGTTACCCAGCTCCCCAACGGTCTCTCTCTATAAAGGAGCGGTGGTGGCAGTGGCCGTGGTGGCTCCTACTCATAAGCCTGGCGGAAGAGCTCCGTCATGCAGGCCCTGCGGAACTTCACAAGGTCCCGCAGGGCCCTGATCTCTTCTGGGAGCTCATTCCACCAGGTAGGAGCCGCCACTGAGAAAGACCTAGCCCTTGTTGCCACCAGCTTGGCCTCCTTAGGGCCCGGGGTCACCAGCCAGTGTTGTGACCTCAACCAAAGTGCTCTTTGGGGAATATACGGGGAAATGCGGTCCCTCAGGTAGGTTGGGCCCTGGCCATGTAGTGCTTTAAAGGTAAGCACCAGCACTTTGAAGCGAATCCAGTATGCTATAGGCAGCCAGTGCAGCGCTTTCAGCACAGGTCAAGTGTGCTCCCAGCCTGAGGTGCCCACCAACAACCTGGTCGCAGCATTCTGCACCAGCTGTAGCTTCCGGATTTGCGACATAGGCAGCCCCATGTAGAGAGCGTTGCAGTAGTCTAGCCTCGAGGTGACCATCGCATGGATCACTGTAGCTAGGTCGTTGCGGTCAAGGAAAGGAACCAACTGCCGTATCAGCCGAAGATGATAAAAGGCTGCTGATCTGGCAGTGGCCACCACCTGGGCTGGCACCAAGGGTGCCCCATCGAAGGTCGGGAGTGGGAGCCCTAACCCCGATCCGGTCCGACTCAAGCACAGGGCCTCCGTCTTTGCCGGGTTTAACTCCAGCCTGCTCAGCCTGAGCCACTCCGCCATGGCTTGCAAAGCCCGGTGCAGATCTTCTGGGTTGGAGCCCAACGGGCCGCCCAACATCAGATAGAGCTGGGTGTCATCTGCATATTGATGACACCCCAGCCCATACCTCCGGGCAATCTGGGTGAGGGGGGGGGGGCGCATGTAGATGTTGAACAGCATCGGGGAAAGCACAGCCCCCTGAGGCACCACCCCACACTCAAGTGGGTGCCTCTGGGACTGTTGCTCCCCTGGCACCCCCTCAGCCACTCCAAGGCTGTATCCTCTGCCCTGACCAGGAAGGGCAGAAGGCCTCCTACCCCAAAGGACACTGCATGTGGTGTACATTGAAGAGTCCCTAATGGGTACCAGGCAGTTACCTTGGGGCCTGCCCCTCCCCGGGTGATTTTAATGGCCCCCCATCCCCAATGATCTTTGGCTCCCCCCCCCCTGCATCCTGCCCAGCGTGGGGAGCTGTGCGAAGCCGAAACGCTCTCTAGGTGTGTGAGTCAGCCACGACCACTGAGGGGGGCTTAAATCATCTTTCCTTAAGCCCGGAGCAGTGTTCCCTCTCAGCTGAGTTAGTGTGAGCTAGCTCACAGTTCTCTAGCCTCCGGCTCACACATTTTTGTCTCAGCTCAGGAAGGATGGGGCTCTCAGCTCAGGAAGGATGTGGCTCCAGAGCAAACTAATGTATGCAGCAGCCAAACCGCTCGCTCACAACTATAATGCCAGTAGCTCACAAACTAGAATTTTTGCTCACAAGAAGACTCCACAGCTTAGAGGGAACCTTGGCCCGGAGACCCAGTCTCAACTCCCCACGGGCTGCTGGGTGAGCCTCCTGGGCCAGCCTCAGCCTCCCTCACGGGATTCTTGCGAGGGAGGGAGGGAGGGAGGGAGGGC